TTCTTATGCGCAAATTGTTTGAACATAATAGGGATTTGGAATCTATCAATGAAAATAACTTCATAATTTTTTTTCCAATTTTATTAAAATTGCATATTTTTCAAAATCTGTTTCCAAGCATTAAAACCTGATTTTATTTATGAGAGAAGACTAAATTACGTGTTTATAAAAGTTAAATTACTGATATTTTTACTCATGCATTCTATTTCCACACTGAAGTCGGCCTGTGATTATGATTAAACAAGTATGTTCGTGCTAATAAATGAAACTTGCTTCACTTATTAGTACTTACTTTCAGTGGCGGGATTTAAAATTCCAAGAACGGGTTCTCTTTGAATCGAATTCGCTAACAACGGGCCCCTCAATTCAGAGAAACATGCTGAACTAAACCAACAATGAAACAAGAACGGTTTGCGAGAGCCCCTTGACTCCTGCCACTGCTTACTTATATATTGTTTCTTTACTAATATTCTATTATTAACTGTATAACCCATGCATTGAATTGGTCGCCTTGTCTATTGAAACCTTTCGCTCAGAAAATAAATTCATAGCTGTCTCCATGTGATTTCTGTATATAACCAAACATGATAATAAACATTGATTCGATCCTTTGTGGTTTTCTTCGTTATTGTTCTGAACCAGTATTCAAACCTTGCAAAAGCTAGAGTGAGAGTTCATCTTTACGGCGTTAACACTATTGAGGATCTATTAAAGGTTGAAGAAACAGGGAAAAGGGCTTTGTATACATAAGGAGGAATAAAATGTTCAAAATAAAAAATAGAGAAATTAGTCTCGAGCTTGTTAAAACTATCCTTGTCGAACTGGTTAACCAATCTTATTGTCAACATGAACCGGTAACCGGACAAAAGACAGTAATTCGCCATAGGAATATTATCGGCTTTCCTTTCTCTGGGATGAATATGAAAATTTTATCTTATAGTTGTGAGTGTTACTATGGTTTGCAAAACAAGACAGCAATACTCAAATATATGGACACGGAATCTAAAACAAAGTACTCTTTGCACCGTACTTACCGGTATTAATTAATCTCCGAGTTTCGCGTAGCGTCGCGTATATTCGGAAAACGCTGTCATGCTTAGCGGATTTAAAATCGTGTTTTCATAAAAAATGAAAATATTCTGGATGAAAATTAGATATCATAGGAAATTTAAGAATACTGTAAATGTAATGTGAATGTAATAAAATAATAGCGTTCTAGCAAAAAATACCATCCTTAACCACTGAAAATTTCAAAGCAATCGGTCCATTAGTGAATTAGAGAATCGATTTTTCAAAACGGAACCAGAAGAAATACAATAAAATCAACATTTTACAAAAACGAATAAAGGTCCATTATGTATCTAATAAAATCTATCTCGCATTATCTTGCGCGGTTGAAAAATATTCTTATCCGGACTCACAAAACTTGACTCCTTTAATGTGGTTCAGTCAAACCATCATTGTCAATTAGCTCTGTGTTGGAATATCTTCATCAATAATGCGTGTCAGAAGCAATATATATCCGTTTTCCTCTCCGACTGCACAATCTCATAAGAGTTAAAAAATTTTTTGTAAAAATGTTGCAAGATTCGGAATAAATTTGTCATCAGTATTCTAGCTAAACCAACCACTAGTGGTCGCTCCTCACGGCTTCTTACATCTTCAGGTGTGGCACTAAGTGTTAGAAATAGCTCGCAATCGCACCTCTGATTACCCTGCGTGGGTTCGCATGTTCGAATTCCATGCGGAGATAATTATGTTCGATGGGATCGCTGTACTTCTCCCGCCGTAGGCTTCCCTTATAATCATGTTCATGCACCCTGGCGCTCCAAAAATGAGCACTAGCAATTTTGTAGTAGTAGAGTATTTTTAAGAATTTTTGTGGGCTCGGGAAAACATCCGGGAAGTATCCGTCAATCAGAATTCATTAAACTTAAACCCTCATATTTTGTACAGTTTTAAATATATATCTTCGATATTCCTACCAAACCTCGTATCGATGAGTGTTGTCATTAAGTTGTGTGGGGGAGGGACATGACTTAGGTTGCTGCGGTTTACTAAGGATGTTACGTCATGCAAGTATACAGCATAAAAAATGTTATTAATATTGTATTCAGTTAACCCGTATGGCAGTGATCGCAAACGGCGGCCAGCAAACATGTTTTGGTACTACCGAAGTATGTGAACCAAGATGGCGACACCCGAACGTAGTATGTGTGCTAGGTTAGGGTTAGACCATAATTTTATTCCAATTTTTCTTATTTTAGTTCTGTTACGAGTTCGAGGTCTAGTCAATGACTCCCGTAGTATTTCTACTTGGAATTATGGCCTAACCTGGTATACATACTACGTTCCGGTGTACGCCATCTTGATTCACATACGTCGGGAGTACCCATTATTTGGGGCCTTCGAACGATATTAACAGAAGTTGTTCATAAACTTATTATTGTCTGCGCGCGGATGTATGTTGTAACAATGGGTGTTGTTGTAGAAATTAACGTAAGCGAAAGCAAATGTCAGTTGTTGCTAGAACACGCCTACCGTTAGGTTATTTATAACTAACGTCTAACATATCGCTGGAATTTACACGGAAATAGAATTTGCAATTGCGCCATATTTCGAAGTTTACTGTTTCGATAATTTGCAGGCGGCATCTGATGCGGCCCACACGCAACCGGAAATGTGTATATTTGGCCCGGTATTACGTAAAGTTTGTCGACTGCTGTTGTAACGACCATCAAATTTATAAGACCAGATACGTATATTGCAAACGTGCAGTTGCCATCTCTGTAATATGATGAATTAGTAATAGGATGATTCCACGTTAGTCCGCTAATAAGCAGCATCTGGGCGGCGTTCGTTGAGGGGCGGTTCTAAACGCCGAGGATTAAGATGTCAAAACATTATCAAATACAGTCCAAAAACATTGACTATTAGGTACTGAAAGGCAATATTATGTTTATGATATAATATCAATAATTTATTCGGAAAGTTTGTGAGGCTCGTTAGGCCGAGAAGAAAACAAACATGTCTAGCATAGGAGTGACTTCAATTCCCCACTTACACCCAAAAAACTTCCAACTTATTATTGTTTCTTTAGATGCGATTTTGCGGCATTCGCAGTGAGACTCAAACTTGTCTAGCTTATATAACTCCGACAGTGCAGTTGGTCTATCGAGAGATTATAGGATAGGATTTACATTTCTATCCCGGGAGAAAGGAAACCCGGTAAGACGACTCAATCATATTGCGAACCACGGCCTCTCGCCTAGTTACCAGTCCAGGTCAGATATCAGATTAGTTAAGCCAGTTATTTGTTTTCGGAAGCACAGACTTGATGGTGCAGAAAGCCGTAACCGGCCAGCGGTTACGTTAACCACCCTACGGCGGCAAGGAGTCCAGCAATCCTTTTGCACATAACCATCCTCGCATGGGATTCGAACCTGCGATCCCACGAAGGGTAATCAGAGATGCGGTGGCGAGCGTATTCCTAACGCTAGCACGATGCTATCGGAATTATATATATTTTTTCATTATTATTATTAAAAGGAGAAATAAAAAACACTTCGCAAAATAGCATTTCGTGCTGAACAATGGAAAATATGTCACTCAAATGTTGTGAAAAAAACAAACACTGCACACTATTCAATGAACATGCATACATGCTCATTGCACTATTCTATTGCAGTGAAATTGCATTTATATTTACCCAAAAATCTGAAACCTAACCCCAAATCCATCAAGACTGTATCCATAAGTAGAATGTTCCAACTCAACCATAGTTTGTCACCATCAGGGGTTGTCCTGCCATTACAGCCAATATGCCTTGGTTTGTGGCAGCACAATTTTGCCCGCCGTGGTTTTCAATTTGCTGCCGTGGTAACCCGTCTCACGCCATTTCTTTGTGGCATCTAAAAAGTCAGCCGCCATAGTTTGACCACAGCTGATATAGTTTGAAATCCCGCCATGGTTTTGCGGCAGCTTCAGACGCCGCAAATTACTTAAAAGTGCACTTGGAGATACTAGTGGCTGCGCGTGTACGGAGCCTGATTGAAGCAATAAAATCATACCATTATAATGAAAGCAAGAGAGTAAGTGTTGCAAAAGTCGCACCGTAAGTCGACGCAAAGACGAATTACGACAAACACAATTAAATTAATATGGCAAGGCATTTTAAATGCTCTCATCGGCAATGGATTGAATAATTTACGCAACAGAAAAATTGTTCTCCGCCGAAAAAATCGGCTAGTTCAGCAATGGGCGTAATCGTGGCACTTGTTTTAGATTTTTAGAAACTGTCGTATGCCAATTTTCGATACGTAGTTCTATGTACAAAGTTGGACACTTTGCACAAAAGTCATGTCCTCTCTATTATATGTTCCAAATCACCTTCTTGATATTGTAGACAGACTCGCAAACGTCCTAAATTACTGAAACATTCGGGTATTATTATGCACAAACACAAGTTTTAAGTGTGAACAAAATTAAGTAAATTTCCCTTTTTTTGAAGAATTTTTTTTAGGAAATTTGTGGTTTCTGGTATTTTTTGTCAGCCTGTACGATGACACACCCTCAACTCTGCTGAAAAGTCAATAACCTTGATTCCTTCTCGTTACCTTACAGACATTTTACACTTAGGCAATCAGGAGTCAAATATGATTTTTGTCAAAGTATTCTGCCTTTTCCTTTGCATCGGATTTTCTTTTGGAAAGAAATTACCTGGTAAAACTTTAGATATCTTTATTATATTAAACCACCACCGGTCGTTTTTGGCTTCCTCTACCATCAAGTCCATGCATCTGATACAAATTACTGACCAACTTCATACCAGGCATGAACTGGTAACCGGACGAGTGGCCGTGTTACGTCAATCGGCTTTCATACCCGGAATAAAGTCAAAATCCTTTTCTGTTCTATCTCTAAATTTATGAGATACGCTATCACCAACAACAGTACCAGGCCAATATCGTTTTATATTTTACAAATGGAGTCTGCGTCACCAAACTAGTGAAAGGAAAACTCGTCTCTGTAGGAGATTGCAAGGTAAAACTATTACAATCCTACACTAGTAGGCAAATTAATTTGTTTATCAGTCATAAAATGCTATAATTATGCAAAGTGCTCAACTTGAAAAATAAAATCGTTGACCCAAATGACCACAGGGTATTCAATCTTTGGTAATTAAATCAAGTCCTTAATAACATAGTCGCATGTTTCACCAACAGAATCTCGGCGTCGGATTTCTAAATGGGTTCAGAGTCACGATCTGAATAAAAAAATTTCATCAAATTTTTCGTGTCTGGTTTGTCAGATAGGACTGATATTAGAAAATTTTGTTTTATTAACAATATTAAACTTTATTCTACAGAAAAACGATGGATTCGGTAAGAAGTTTGAGCAAAATATAAAAGAATGGGCAGATAAGTCGAGCGATATTCCCCTTAGAATGAGTATTTTACTATATGCATATTTGTCTTAAACGAAAACATTAATACAGGCGGGTTTTATTTGAGAGAATATTCTCGTCAACATCTTTATAACCTAAAACTGTATATTTGGAATAAACTTAATCGATTATTTCACTATGAAGTCTAGTCAAATATTGAGTTTGGTTTTGAAGTTGGAGTCGTGATGCACGGTATTTTATTTTTACAGAGATTGCCAAACTGATTAAAGAAAGTCTCGCAAATAAGCAACAATGTAAGTTGCTTTATATTTTGGAACAAGTCGCCTATTTGAGAGTGCAACACAATATTGGTTAAACTTTATACCAGTGGTCCGTGCCTACCAAGGAGGCCACATAGCAGTTGGATGGGGGCCACACTGCTAGCCCCATAAATAATTTTACTTTTCAATTTACAAAAAAATCCTCGTTCTATCTCATTCTCATCATTGATAAGGTTATTTGTGTTTTCACCTTGTTAGGCATGAATTGTTTTAATATAATGGGATTTGAAATCCACCAATCACAATAACTGTTTAAATACCACTGTATGATGAACAGAGGGGCCATACGTGCCAAAAACTATCAAGAGGGGGCCACGAGCCAGCAAAATATTGGTTAAACTCTACATGCCCCTCCTATCCTAAAGCCCTAATATATGAACACAATTAATCACACAATATATTATTCATCGAAATGAAAAATGTATATCAATATGGCCAGTATCGCGGGCTGAGTCGTCTGTCCAACTCGAATTATTACATTAAACACTAATGCCTCATTGAAAATTCCGTTATTGAAAGTGATGCATCCTTCTCTTCAATCTCTTGGCGCCCTAAGCACGTGCTTATTTTGCTCAATGATCAATCCAGCCCTGCTTTGTGGCATTAACCAAGATGGTTACAGAGGTAGCTGCCATATCTTCGGAAAAACAGAATCTCTTCGATTCGGCATCAACTTTCTTGTCGGAATAAATTTGGAACGCGAACATTTGGCACTATACTATTGTTCTACGACACATGTGAAAATTTTAATCCCAGATTCCACGAAGTTATTTCTGAAAGCTTTTATTTGCTAACATGAAATATTCAATGACCACAATAATGTTTTCAGATAAGTGTGACGTCACATACAAGAAAAAATGCTTCCGAGCAGTTGTGTATGATGCAAGGAACGTTACCTTCAACGATGCCAAAGCAATCTGCAAATCAATGAACGGAAAACCCGCGAATATTTACGACCTCAAGCATTACCAGCTGCTGCTCCCTTATCTTCGTTCACTGATGCCTGCTGGTCAGAAATGGATTGGCATCTGGACTGGGATAGAATATAAGGTCAATTGATGGATCACGATCTCAGCAGAGTTTGACTCATTCTTGTAAACTTCATCTTGTCAACGATTGGCCAAAGGCGGTTTACTATTGAAATTATTAAAAGATGGGCAGGTTAACGATGCCTTATTGGGTATTTAAAAGAAAAGATAATTTAAAAATATTAAACATGATTTCCAATATAATATGAAGTCATAGCCTGGCCGTCCGATCGATATTTTAGAATATGTCAGTATGGAGCCACAATACTTCGTCTATGATGACTACAATTACTATCGAGCATATTACAACAAGCAAATATTTTCATTCTTCAACTAATATGTCAGTCGCATTAACATTTCAAAAAACAGATTTTGAAACTATTTATTCAATTGTTACAGAACAATCAACTTTTGCTGTCTGGTGGAAAACCCATCACTATTGCAACAGAAGTCTGGTATCCTAGTTTTCCGGTATCCGATGCATCGTGGAATAATGTTGGTGTTTACGTCAATAAAGATCCAGAGGATGCAATTCAGGGAATGTTCAATATTGCACCATCCTATAATCGCAACGGTGTCATCTGTGAAATATAATACCAGCTCAAAACCTGACAGAACTTCGTTGACGGATTCAATGATGTAACGACTAAAACAGTTAAATGACTTTGTTGTTATCTATATCAGTGGTTCCCAAACTTTTTGTACCATCGCCCCCCTACAGTAGTTTATACAAGTTCATCACCCCCCGGCACTGCGAAAAAAATGTAAAATCTGAAACGAATATATTACAGACCAAATAAGAAGACAAATCATAGTTTATAGTATTTTTTAATGAGATGGATGAGCTTGTTGTTCTTCAGCGAGTTTTTTATAATATCTAAAATCACCCCGTTTACTGATGGAAAGGCGATTTCGTTGTTTTGATAGCAATAGTAGCACGGCTGAAAACCCCTCATCATATTAGCGGTCGGAAATGAAAGAATCTAGGGTTCTACCTCCTCAAAAACCGCCGTGTACTTTTGCCTTGTAGCATTTAACTCCCTAAATTCACCCATTTCACATTTAGGGTTGCTAATCTTTTGCGGATCGCATATATTTTTTGAAAGTTAAAAACGGAACAGCGGGCGAAAACCGCGACAATTCGTGAACTCAACTCAGTCGTCTTATTATAAAATATTACAATGACATTTAATGTGTGTCTTGTTGCAGCTTTACGACGCCAAGATTGGAAGATTTCTAAATAGGCATCACTAATCCTAGTTCTAGCTTGTTCTTTGTAATGTTCATTTCGAAAATAATTGTTCGCACAGATATGTACTTCCGAACAACGAAATGAATGTTATCGCATGGTTTGTCAAATTTTGATGAAGATTTTCTTTAGGAAGATACACTCTTACAAAAATTAAGCAGTGATGAATCCCTCTAATAGAATATGAATTTTATTTCCTTATTGCATTGCAATATATTCTAATATTTACTGCGCTATTGAACCCCTGAACCTATTGTATTCCTGTGTTTTATTATTATTATTATTCATTTATTATTATTATTTTTTCAAATTGGTCCTACAAACTTGAAATTCACCTCAAATGTGCAGAAGTTCTCAGCTAGCAATAAAATGCAAATTTTTTTTTACGCAGAAAGCCTGTTAAAGCTGCACGCAGCTCTAGTTATAATTGAATTGTAGGCTCGTTAAACGAGAAGCTGTTCAATATAATTTTAAGGATATAATAAAATTTTGTCTAAACGTGCCTCACGAAAAATTCTGTTACATAAAAAATGTAATTTACTCCTCGAGCGTAGATTGTAAATAAAATTATTTCATCGCCAAAACCGCCGTTTGGATGTTTCCCCGGGCATTCCTTGTTTACTTCGTGACATTGGCCATTCAGCAAGATGCAAAAATAAACGTAACAATGCCCCCTTTCGCATCCGCTCAGACACATTTCTCACTCAGACAGATTTTCAGGTGTGGTTGTGAAAATTACCTCATTTTGGCGTTTTTGAATTATATTCGTTAGTTTTTAGTTGTTTTTCGGAAATTTATCGGAAGTCAATGATCACTTTGTCTCCCCAGAAGTTTCAGTTTATTTAAAGTAGGCAAAAATTTGGTGTAGAAATATCTTTGATTGACTAGGCTAAAATTCTTTACTGGTACCTATAAAAAACAGATTGTTGAATGGTATTTATTAGAATGATAGTTTGAATGAAACAAATACCCCGTTTCACAGGCAACAACTCGCAAAACCACTCTTAAAATACGCACCGAAAATTTTAAAATGGTAAAGTATTGAAAAAATTTTCTGGGGTCAAAGGTCGGCGAACGGTCCATTCAGTGGAGCGTCCCGGACCTGATTATTTTACTTCGGCCGCCGTATTTTGCCGAGCACTGGGATACGGAAACGACCGTATCTTACTGCGAAGACGAGTCCAGCAATCCGTTCGCGTGTGATAATTGCCTACGTGATTCAAACATACGAAAGCACGCAGAGTACAGTAATCAAGTGCACGATGCGCCGAACAAACAGGTTTCTAAAAATCGCCCCCTTCGACTTTTTCGCCCCCCTCTGTAGCGTTATCGCCCACCGGGGGGCGATATCGCCCACTTTGGGAATCACTGATCTATATAGATTTTCATTAAAATTTTTGTTCGCTTTTCTATGGCCGTTGTTCTAAATGTTCTAATTATGATAGGTTCATGTCTGATTATGCAAAATTTATAAGCTGCCCATGAATGATCTGATCTTAAATTACTCTTCAATTTTACTAAATGGCATATTTTTACAAAGTCTGTTTTTCAAGCAAAAAAAAAACCTTGTTTTATTTGTGAGAGGAGACTAAATTACATGTTTATGAAAGTTAAATTACTGTTATTTTTATTTGTGCATTTTTATTTCACACTGAAGTCGCCTGTGATTATGATTAAACAAAGGTCACACAAGTATGTTCGTCTTAATAAATGAAACTTGCTTCACTTGTTATTACTTACATTCAGTGGCGGGATTTAAAATTCCAAGAACGGGTTCTCTTTGAATTGAATTCACTTACAACGGTTCCCTCATTTCAGAGAATTAAACCAACAATAAAACAAGAACGGTTTGCGAGACCCCCTTGAATCCTGCCACTGCTTACTTATATATTGTTACTTTACTATTATTACTTATCGATCTTAAGATCGGTAAGTATATTGATAGGTATTTGTCTGTATGTATGTCTGTATGTATGTCTGTCTGTCTGTTAGATGCACGGGATATCTCACGAAAGCGAGTTTGAATCTGCTCCAAATTTTGCATGTGCATACATCATATCTCGGACCAGAAGCCTATTGATTTTGGGTTGATTATGTCGTATATTTAGCGAGTTATTAATTAATTAGTGATGGGACACACGGTGTTGCTAGAGGTTCAGAGAGAAGAAATCGAAAGGGATTGTGTGCGTAACAATGCCCTGTCTGCGATGCTATCAAAGCCGCAGTTTCTGTTTTGGGAGATCCCCTTTTTCATACGATTGTGTGTGTAGCACTGTTCTATCTTCGATGTTGAGCGTTTAAGTATTTCAGTTACACGCCGCATCGACATCACTGATCTGGAATCATTGAATAAAAACCATTCGGAACCATCCGTCGTATACTAAATTTGCGTTTGACACAAACTATAGAGCTATAGGATAGTCGACGGTCGCCATTGCCGGTGGCAAATAGGCTATTGACTGAAACCAAATCTAATTCTTTACCAAAATATCGCTAGGCTGTGGTTGAATAGCTGTCGCAATTGCGGTTAGCGCCGTTTTATTTGACACAATATATACTATAGGATAGTTGGCGTTAGCCATTTTCGGTAGTAAATTGGCTACTGGCTGAAAACTGATCAAAACGGTTCAGTTCGGATTTGCAAATTTATTCATAAAAGTATTTCCTCGAGTAGTATTTCGACGACAACGTGGGGAGTTGGCTGTTGTTTACTACATATTTTGATATAACGCGATGCCCAGGATGAAAAAAAAAAGTTTAGAGGTTAAAAAGAGGGAGAGAAAGGCTAAAAGTAAGGCCGAACAAACTTGGAAAGACAGTGTTCGTCTCACATCTTTCAATGACAAGGATAGTGATAGTGCTGCTTCTGAACGTTCTCTGTCACAGTGGCTTGCGAGTGCTCGCTATGGTATTGGTGACACGATATCACTGGTTTCCGGAGAAATGCTATCTGGTATTGTTAACAAATCTCGGCAAAAGCCCCCAAATGAAACTGAGATGGGTACCTTATGTCGACTTGATAAGGCTAAAAAACATATGGCGGAGGTGCGAAAATGGGAGACCACACAGAAAAAAATATATCGTCGAGAACAAGACAAAAAACGGACGGCCGAGGTTCGTGCGCACGGAACGGCTCCGGAAAAATCTGTCCGTCTCCAACAAGACAAAAAACGGACGGCCGAGGTTCGTGCGCGCGAAACGGCTCCGGAAAATCTGTCCGTCTCCAACAAGACAAAAAACGGACGGCCGAGGTTCGTGCGCGCGAAACGGCTCCGGAAAGATCTGTCCGTCTCCAACAAAACAAAAAACGAACAGCCGAGGTTCGTGCGCGCGAAACAGCTCCGGAAAGATCTGTCCGTCTCCAACAAGACAAAAAACGGACGGCCGAGGTTCGTGCGCACGGAACGGCTCCGGAAAGATCTGTCCGTCTCCAACAAAACAAAAAACGAACAGCCAAGGTTCGTGCTCACGAAACAGCTCCGGAAAGATCTGTCCGTCTCCAACAAAACAAAAAACGGACGGCCGAGGTTCGGGCGCGCGAAACGACACCGGAAAAATCTGTTCGTCTCCAACAAGACAAAAAACGGACGGCCGAGGTTTGTGCGCACGGAACGGCTCCGGAAAGATCTGTCTGTCTCCAACAAAACAAAAAACGAACAGCCGAGGTTCGTGCGCGCGAAACAGCTCCGGAAAGATCTGTCCGTCTCCAACAAAACAAAAAACGAACAGCCGAGGTTCGTGCGCGCGAAACGGCTCCAGAAAAATCTGGCCGTCTACAACAAGACAAAAAACGGACAGCCGAGGTACGAACGAAGGAAACTATACATGAAAAAACTGCTCGTCTAAATCGAATAAAAAAACGCGCCACGGACGTTCGTCAACATGGAGAAAATAACACAAACTTTACATATATACAGAAATTTCATCACCATATTTCCAGTAGCGCAGATTTTCCCTGCACTTCATGCCACCGTTTACAGTACAAAGTTAGTGTAGTGAAACTAAATAAAACTGCTTACAAGAACGTAAACATGAAAATAATTGAATGTGTTCTATCATTCGAAATTAAGTCACCAGATGGAAACGTGTACATTTGCAGAACATGTCACATATCGTTAAAGAATGGAAAAATACCTTGCCAATCTAAAGCGAATAATATGACGATAGCGGACCAACCAGCTGCTTTAAAAGATCTGAATGTGCTAGAACTTCGTTTGATTTCACAGCGAATCCCTTTTATGAAAATTCTTGGACTTCCTTGTGGCAAGCAACGAGGAATTCACGGTCCAGCAGTCAATGTTCCCTCTAAGTTACACGTCGTATGTGATCAATTTCCTCGGTTGCCCTCTGAATGTCAGTTGATTCCATTGAAGTTAAAACGTAAATTGTCCTACACATCGCATTACATGTATGATTGATTATGTGCGAATTGATAAAGTCATATGTGCACTGAAATGGTTGAAAATTAACAATTTCTTGTATAAAGATATTATTATCAACGACAATTATATTGAACATGCTTCAAAAAATGACGAGGAATTGTGGAATGCTATGTTTATCGACGACAACGATGAAATGCAGTTAAATTCTAATGAATCGGTCAAAAACATTCCCGTAGCACCAGATATTCAAACAACGTGTGCTTCTCGCCATTCCTCTGATAGCGAGAAAAAGCGTAGTTCAACAAACTCATCATCCACAAATGTTTCGTATTCGCCGACATGTACGGGTAGCGTTTCGAGTCGCAATCTATGGAACACTTCGCAAACGCAGGGAATGAAAATGATAAACGTTCCATCAGATGGAAATTGTATGTTTAACGCCGTCCGCCATCACTTAGTACGTCTTGGCATATCGCTGCAAACCCCAGTCGAAATACGACGTGAACTATCCAAATATATGCTTGAACACGCAGATGCTTATAGAGATTTTGTATGTTCCAATGTCGGATATGAAGAACTTTATTGCTCTGACATGGAGCATCCGTCAGATTACGATTACCACATTTCCCAAGTTAATAATCCGGTGTCTCGTCATAATCTAATGTGGCAAAATTACTTAAATAAGTTGGAAAATGGTTCACAGTGGGGCGAGCATATAGCATTGCAAGCCATCACCGATATGTTCGCACTGAAAATTGTTGTGCACAAAACTAACGGAGATGATATTGTTGTGCGATCCAGATATTCATATAAAAATGAATTTCATTTAGGTCTAATTGGACAACAACACTACGTTGTATTTGAACCTGAATCACAATATTCAGATTCGAACACAGACAGTTATTCAAGAATGGAACTTATGGATATCAGTCACAAAATTCAAAGATGTAAGGTTACAAAAAGTAATTCCCCCGAAATAAGCAGCGCAGTAATTGAAAATAAAGGGATGAGATTAATTTAAAACAATCAACAAGTGTCCGAGGTTTACAGTATGAATCAACGGTTGTCAATGATGACATCAGTAATAAAATTATCAGTATGGCTCCCGCTGAAGATAAAAAACCGATTTCATTATTGGCCGATGATAAATTCGAACAACTAGCATATCCATCATTATATCCGGATGGAAATAATGGTTTCAGTACTGATCGTGTTGTTCCAATCACTCCGCGTAAGTATTTCAATCAAAGACTTTTAGATGCTGACGGAAGATTCGCACGAAATATTGAATACTTATTATCCGCCCAGTATGCAATTGAAAGCAAACAGATACAGGGTGACGTCAACCACTTCGTGTTTCGTCGAGTAAATCACGAATGCGGAAATAACGAGATAACTGCTGGATTTATTCGAAATTCGGATAATATAAATAACATGATTAAAACTGATAAAGCTTTCAGAATACTGCAGAATATTCGAGGTTCGCCCGCTTATTTCCAAGACGTATTTTATGATGTACTGGCTATGATTCGTCAGATTGGAATTCCTACATTTTTCTTCACACTAAGTGCCGCAGACATGCGATGGCCAGACTTAATTTCATCCATTGCTAGACAGTACGGGTCCATTTTAACGGATGATGACGTAGTTAAGCTTTCCTTTGAGCAGAGGTCTATGTGGTTAAGGTCCAACCCAGTTACCGCAGCTAGACACTTTCACTATCGTTTAGAATGCTTGTACAAAGATGTACTATTGTCCCCGGCACAGCCATTGGGTCATATTATTGATTATGTGATTCGGATAGAATTTCAAGCCAGAGGTTCCCCTCATGCCCATATGTTGCTTTGGGTTGACAAGGCCCCAAAGTTGGGCATTCAAACTGATGAAGAGGTGTGCGCGTTCATTAGCAAGCACGTTGCTTGTTCATTTCCTGTTGACGACCTCCCATTGAGAGCCCTCGTTCAGGATTTACAGACACACAGTCATTCTTCCTATTGCAGGAAAAGTGGTGGATGTAGATTTAATTACCCAAAACCACCGAGTGAAAAAGTAATAATTGCAAAAGAAGTCGAGGAGGATGAGAGTGAATTAATGGCCCAGTCTAAAATTGTTTTAAAAAAAGTCCGTGATACGCTATCGTCGTCGTACCGAGACACCAGTTCGGATGTAAGTATGGACGATTTACTACAAAATATTGATATTGATAATCAACAATATCGGCAGGCACTTTGTATGTCACAAAAAGGCAACACTGTTATCCTAGCCAGAAAGCCGGCGGAGTGCTTCATCAACGCATATAACCCCGTGATATTAAAGGCATGGCAAGCCAATATGGATATCCAGTATGTTGTTGATCCTTATGCATGTGTCATGTATGTCGCATCGTATATGATGAAAAGTGAACAGGGAATGGGGTTGCTATTAAAACATGCATGTAAAGAATATAAGGATTTTGATATAAAAAATATGCTTAGGCGAATAAGCTCTGTCTTTTTAAATAATCGAGAGCTAAGTGCACAGGAAGCATGTTATCGTATCTTATCCATTCCAATGAAAAAAATGAGTAGATCTGTTATTTACATAAACACTGATCCTGTTGCAGAACGACAGTGTATCTTAAAATCAAAAAAAGAACTGGAGAAACTGGAAGACGAAGATAGTGACATATTTCAAAAAAATATACTTGACCGATACTCGGCGAGACCGAGTAGCTTGGACAATGTGTGTTTAGCAACTTTCGTTGCAAATTATGCAGTGAGTTATCGAAAAAATGACAAACACGTTGATGACAGCGTAAAAGATTTGTTGCACGACGATCACGGGAATAAGGATCTTCAATATGATTTACCCCAGCATATTGTACTGAGACGCGGCCTTGGGAAAATGAGTAAAAGAAGAAGAGAATGTATAATTCGTTTTCGAAAACATAACAAGGAAACTGATTTCAACAATTTTTGCCGTGCCAAATTGATGTTATACCTCCCGTGGCGTTCAGAGGAGCGCGACCTGTTGGCGGACCATCCAACATATTCATCTTATTATTTGGAAATACAAGACAAATTGTCTGCTGTGGAATCACGGTATTGCAACAATGTGGAGTTAGTTGATTCAGCAGTTCACAAAAATTCAGTGAGCGGTCCTCCTCTTCATTTGTGGGGCGATCTTGGCATGGAAAGTGACCTTTCAAATCAACAAGATAAATCGGAAGGTGATACACCTTACACCACCATGATAAGAGAGGATCTTGCTGCCAACTCAGCGATCATTGAGAGTGTCGAACGTGTTGCCGTTCCCAAAAGTGACATAGGTGCGAGATACGAAATCGAAAAGAACAGAAATGTATTATCTACATCTGAATATTGTAATATGATACGCTGCTTGAATGAGAAGCAAAGGGCTATAGTATTCCATCACAGGAAGTGGTGCAAGGATGCCGTTATTGCAATTAAACAAAACGGTTCTGTTGAACCATATAGAATTTTTTTAAGTGGTCCTGGTGGAGTAGGGAAATCACATGTGATAAAATTGATTCAGCACGATACAAGAAGATATTTCGCTCTTTCAAGAACTGTCGATCCGAATGATGTAACTTGCCTCCTTTGTGCTCCAACAGGCGTTGCTGCATTCAACATAGATGGTATAACTATACATTCTGCACTACTGTTAACAAATAGGAAAGCTAGCAGTGGACACGACGGCATATCCTTCGAAAAACTGAATACTTTGCGATCTCATCTTGGCAGATTACGTGTATTAATTATCGATGAAATCTCCATGGTAAGTTCAGACATGCTTTTAAACATTCACAAACGCCTGCAAGTGATCAAGGGAAATGCGGCTCCATTTGGAAACGTTTCTGTTTTAGCAGTCGGTGATTTGTTCCAGTTGCCTCCGGTCTGTCAGCCTCAAATATTTTGTCCTGTTTCTGATGAAACTATGCGCCTGGGTCGGTCTCTTTGGAATGATTATTTCCACTTGCACGAATTAGATGAAATTATGCGCCAAAAAAACGATAGAAATTTTGCAGAATTGTTATGTCGGATTCGATTGGGAAATCAAACACGAGCCGACATAGATACACTGCGCACAAGGGAGATTCATCTTTCCGATCTCAACTATCCAAAGGAGGCATTGCACGTTTTTGCTCACAACAACGACGTAGATAACTGGAATTTATTCAAACTGAATAAGTTGATTCAAAGCGGGCCCGAAAAAATTGTGATACCGGCCATAGATGACAAAAAGGAGGGGTTGTCTCTAATTAGTTTGCGTGCATCTGGTGTAAAGTTAAAAAGATTCAAAACCGGCGGTTTGCACACCGTCTTGGAAATTGCTGTTGGGTGTAGAGTCATGTTGCTTTATAATATAGACACGAGTGACGGTTTGGTGAATGGAGTAATGGGTACCGTTCAATATATTGCAAAAAATGACAAAGAATTTGTAATCAGCATTTTGATTAAGTTTGATAACGATAATGTTGGACGAAAAGCTATGGCTAAGAGTAGATGGAAAAGGCAACACCCCCTCCTCGTGCCGATAACACGCAGGGAAGCCAAATTCGAAAAGGCATATGGCAAAGGAGCACAAGTTTCCCGAAACCAGTTTCCGTTGACGCTTGGTTGGGCCGTCACAATTCACAAATGCCAAGGTATTACTTTAAATAAGATTGTCGTCAACACAAAAGGAAAGAAATTTGGCTGTGGGCAAGTTTATGTCGCTTTGTCCCGGGTTAGAAAGTTGGAAAATTTGTATCTGACTGATTTTGATCCCTGTACTATCCGATGTAGTTCTGAGTGTTCTGAAGTGATGAATAACATGCGTACAATGCCCATAGCACACCAACGTCCACCCACATTGACAGATTTAAATAAATCAAATTGGTTACCGATAGGTCATTTAAACATAAGGTACTTTTTAAAGAAGATGGACGATATAGTTTCTTATACAAAGGGTGAAATTTTTCGTCATGCTGATATTTGCTGTTTCACAGAAACATATTTGACGGAACGCCACAACATAGACAAATTCACCAACAAATTTGACTACGTTTCCTTTAGAGAAGACGTACCCAGTAGGCTTGCACGTAATTTACGGAATTACGGAATTACGGAATTATTTCGAGTTACGGAAGTGAAGTTACGAATTACGTAAAGTCGTAATTGTTGGTCGAGCGCTTTCGCGATTGAAACGAGCTCTCTTCAGAGCAGTCAATTCCGTCGATTGTAAAAAATTAAAGTTTAAGTAAAAGAAGTTAGAGTTCCGGTATTCGCAGCCGTTTTTCTCTTTCTTGTTAGGCAGATGGGGAAGGCATAACGCGTCATTTACTAACCTATTATCAACTTATCTAGGATGGCCAATGTACATATTAATCGTAGATAAGGAATAGAATTGTGTTGAGACCGATGGACGTCAACACACCTGGTTTCAACTTCTTCGGGTGAAATGACTAAAGAATGTAAGAGATCAACTTATAAAACATGGTCTATTTGTAAATGCCGTGATAATTAATGTCGCGCTTATCAAACATCAATATAAAGACGGAAGAGAAATTGCGTAATGAACCAACGCAACTTAGTCTTTTCGGCATCGGTAAAGGGACTGAGACGGCAGAGAAACAACAATACGACGGGATTTCCCGTGTTTATTCTGCGCGAGATCCATTTTCTATCACAAAATCTTGATGTTCTGTTACCGATTTTATCGTTATATACCTGTCCGGACTTGGCATTGCTCAATATGGTTTTCACAATGCCTCGCAATATGTCGGCCAAATATGATTACCTGTCTTTACCAAATGCGGCAACTTATTTTGATTTATCGTCGACTCGAATACCACCGGCACTCGACCAAACTTGTGTCAATCTTGGCAAATAGGATTGTCGACTTGAGTTAGAAAAATAAATTAATAAAATTAATTTATATAATTAATTTATTAATTTAATAATAATTAAAAGAAATGTCACAAAATGCATTGTTTTGCGATATAACTTTGTATTTTCGGAGAAGGCATGTCATACAAGTACGGTATTTTAAATAATGCGCAAATAATTAATATTTGATCTAAATTTATCGCAAATAATGTTATAACTTTTAGGCCGCGAAATGATTTAATGTAAAATGAAGCATAGAATTCGGAATATCGTCAATAAGTCGGCATCAATAATTATTATAAAATGCTGCTAACTAAGTAGTAAAGTCGGATATTGTAAAAAACGGTGAAATAACAAGTCTTCGTCGCGAGGCAAGCGAAAGAATAATCAAACGAGAGAATACGCTTGTAGATTAATAAATTAGCAACCCGGAATTTTTATTTAATACGAAAGTCGTATTAATACGTTAATACGATTTTAAAAAAGTGAACTATCGTTTCTTAAATATATTACCAGTGTTGGTAATGATAAAATTGATCGCATAAAATTTGGTGATAAAGTGGATAAAAAAATCAAAGCTAATACAAAAGATAAAAATCAGAATAAAATTATTTTGAATTCACTCCTTGATATTTGTCTTTAACATCTGTCGCCGGCGTGTAGTACTGCCGGGAATATGAAAACCAAACTTCGATGTCCCATTCGGAATAGAAGTGGATTAAATTGGTTGTTATGATAGGTTTAAATGCGTGAAAAAAATATCGCATTTACGGGGTCATTACGTAATCGATTTGGCCGTAATTACGGAATTGATTTTTGTCAATTACGTGCAAGCCTAGTACCCAGTGAACAAAATCATGGTGGAAAGCACGGATTATTAGTCTGTGCTTCGCGAAAGCTGAACCCAGTTGAAATAAAAACATCTTCGAATGTGCTTGAGCATAAAATGATTCGACTGAAAACTTCCACGAATAAAGAATTCACTTTGTTGTTAATTTACAGACCACCGAATTTTCCGCAGTTGGAATTTCTTAACATATTGTCTGAATTAATGACCTTCATACCACAAGGAGCTCCAACATTCATCTTGGGAGATTTTAATGATAATATTTTCCATAATCGATCATCTTCTATCATGGAAAAAATGAATGAGCTTGGTTTCCGACAATATATTCCCACCAATCGCGCGAGCACAGATTATGGGTCTTTGCTTGATCACATGTATTTTAATAGAAATTGTACGCATGACAGCATTGTTGTTGATATTGTGGACACGTATTATTCGGATCATGACACAGTGTTTATAACAACCAATTACCTAACCACATAGTTTAATATTTTCGGCGAAAGACTGCTGTGTGTTTCTGCAGGAGAAATTATTCAGAATGTGGCCAACGGATAGATTGCAATACCGCATTTGAAATCGTACTCCGTCAAAATTGTCCAGTAACATATTGAACATGCGAAAGATCGATAAGTCGGCGGTCTCCGATCGCTGTCTAGTTCTATTATTATCCGTATAACCCATGCATTGAACTGGTCGCCTTGTCTATTGAAACTTTTTGCTCAGTAACTAAATTCATAGCTTTCTCCAGGTGATTTCTGTATATAACCAAACATGATAATAAATATTGGTTCGATCATTTGTGAGTTTTCTTTGTTCTTGTTCTGAACCAGTATTCAACCTTGCAAAAGCTAGGGTGAGAGTTCACACCTTTACGGCATTAACACTATTGAGAATCTATTTAAGATTGAAGAAACACGGAAAAGGAAGAAACACGATGAAAACAACATTTTTCAAATACGATCCATAGATCCATTTCGTATCCAAAAAAAACTATCCCGCATTATCTTGCGAGGTTGAAAAATAATCTTATCCAGATTCACGAAACTTGACTCAATCTTGTTCAGTCAAACCAGCATTGTCCCTAGGCCCTGTGCTGGAATATCTTCATCAATTATGCAAATTCCACTTTACAGCAGAAGCGTTATTTGTTCTCCTCTTTGACTCAACTATCTTATAATGATTAGAAGTGTTATTGCCAAAATAAAATTTTAAAGATTGCAAACAGGTTATTTTTGGATTTTTTTTATTAAAATGTCGCGAGATTCGGAATATTTTCAGCAATATCAAAGCTAGTCATCGGCTATCTAGCTGAACCAACCGCTGCTGGTCGGCCACGGCTTTTCTCCATCATCAAGTTCATGCTTCTGAATAGTAATCCCATACCATTCTCTCTTATGTACTTCACACAATCAATGCCACTGAATTCGAACCTAATGCCTATATGTTGAACCGATGCTCCCTTATTCACATTGTCGGGCTTTTCTTGAATGGGAATTCCAATTAAACTGCATTCATTGCTAGATTTATAACCAGCATAATATTTGGCAATTCATCGATATGCTTTTGTCAAACCGGATGTTAAAACCCTCCTACCGCCGGTAAGCCTATATGGGCTTTTGCGTGTTCGCTTTGAGCTTACTGGTAATGTACAGTTAATCTGAGGTCGTAAATAAGAGAGAGGTTGATACGCCTAGTTAGCTTCAAGAAAAGGACTTCAGTAGCCGTCTGGTATCCACCGTTCTATGAATAGCGCCGTTTTGATAGAAGTGACTCATATAGTTTTTGACGAGCGATATATGCGAGTTATCTACTACATTTATTGAATTATGGCTGGACGTACAACTAGAGTTCTTGATGTCGAGGATGTTTTATGGCAGTTGGAGAACGAGAAATTTATTCCAGAAGATGACTCTGACAATGACAATCTAGAAAATTCGGATTTTTCTGAAGAAGAAGACATTTTAGAAAGTCAAAGCGATGAAGTTTTGGAAGGTTCTTACTAATTTCTTTATTGATAGATTTCAGTGAGATGAGATAAATTTATTTTGATTCAATCGATAACGTCTCATTTATAACATTTTATTACTTCAGATGATGAACCGTCAACTTCAACTGCTCCACCTAGAAGACGAGGGGGTCGGTCTGCATGGGCTGGGGCAAGAAAAAGGGCTCGGCGATCGTCGACCACGAGATCGGGTGGAATTCGCCCGTCTTACAACTGGACAAAGTCCTTTACTGGGAGGACAATCAGACCCTTCGAGGGACAAAGACGGGTACGCAATCGTCAATTGAACGAAACTCGAGTGCAAAGATTCCATTCAGTGGAGCGTCCCGGACCTGATTATTTTACTTCGGCCGCCGTATTTTGCCGAGCACTGGGATACGGAAACGACCGTATCTTACTGCGAAGACGAGTCCAGCAATCCGTTCGCGTGTGATAATTGCCTACGTGATTCAAACATACGAAAGCACGCAGAGTACAGTAATCAAGTGCACGATGCGCCGAACAAACAGGTTTCTAAAAATCGCCCCCCTTCGACTTTTTCGCCCCCCTCTGTAGCGTTATCGCCCACCGGGGGGCGATATCGCCCACTTTGGGAATCACTGATCTATATAGATTTTCATTAAAATTTTTGTTCGCTTTTCTATGGCTGTTGTTCTAAATGTTCTAATTATGATAGGTCCATGTCTGATTATGCAAAATTTATAAGCTGCCCATGAATGATCTGATCTTAAAGTACTCTTCAATTTTACTAAATGGCATAGATCATGACCAGAAAGCGCTTCAGGGAAATTATGAAGTACCTGCATCTATGCGACGAGAGTTCAGCACCTGATGCTGCATATCCTGGCAAAGACAAACTCTTCAAAATACTGAAATTCGTGTTGTTCTTGTTCAAGGGCAGAATTAGTTTCCGCCAATTTATTAAAACAAAGCGGGCTCGCTTCGGGATCAAGGTTTGGGTTTTAGCTGAGTCTTCTACCGGCTATGTATCGCGACTCCAATTCTACACTGGAAAAGACCCAACTGCAAGTCCAGAGAATGAACTTTCATCGCGTGTCGTAAAGTACCTTGTCGATCCGTTTGTCGGAATGAACTACCATTTATATGTAGATAATTTCTACACTAGTCCAAAACTTTTTGAATATTTGCTATCCAAGGGAGTCTACGCCTGCGACACATTCCATGTCAATCGCATTGGCTTTCCTAAGGAAATGATCATCAAAAAATAAGTACTATTGAGAGGGAAACGACAGATTGGCGAATGGCTGGGGATTTGCTAGCCCAATCATGGGTCGACAACCGGGCGGTCTACTTTCTGACGACGATTCATAGACCAGAATATGAAAACAATTATTCTGGAAGCAAAATTGTGAAACGTAAAGGAGGCCGTGGTCGAACCTCCTCAAGAACCGCTGAAATTCCATGCCCCCCCCCCCCGTACTCAAAGACTATAATACTCACATGGAGGGCGTGGACCTATCAGATCAAAATGAGTAAATACTATAATTTGACCAGACGGTCAAAGGTCTGGTATAGACGGGTATTTTCCTATCTTGTAGAGGTTTCATTGCATAATGCTAGGATTTTAGCCGAAAGCGTACAAGGAAGGCGTCTGGACGGATTGTCGTTCCGAATGTCCATAATAGCCCGTCTGATTGGGAGCCATACGACCTCGCGACGCGTATCGGGGTCCGGCTCCCTTCAAAGATTACAGAACGTTGGCCGGCCCTTTACTTCGTTTGACGAAAGGCGGGGGGTTTGCGTCGTTTGTTCGAAGAAAAATCAAGTGGCGTCACGAGGCAGTGATGACAAATCTTATGTTTCGCGCAGCCGAGTCAAATGCGCCGAATGCGATGTTCTCCTTTGCGTTCTCGCAAACAAAACTTGTTTTACAGACTGGCATACTAAATTAGAATACTGGAGATAGATTTATTCTAATATTTTTGTAAATAGTGTTTTCTTTACGTTTTTTGTTCATTGTATATTCATTTCGCATTTGACATTGTTTTCTCTTTTGTTTGCACCAGTGTTGATTTTCTTAGTGTGTTTGTTTCTTTTTGTTTTCACATATGTATTCAATAAATATATCGTCATCTTGTCAATCAATAGTCCAGTGAAATTTTGTTGTTTGTTGTGCCGCGAGTCGGTACCAGCCAGCTGCACAACGGTATCCCACTGGAAGTTGTCCGTTCGCACAAATATCTTGGACTACATATTGACGATCATCTAAAATGGAACGCCCATACTACTGAAATTCATAATAAACTGTCAAAATCTGTAGGAATTCTTAGTAAACTTAGGCATTATGTCCAAGACATAACTCTGCGAACGGTATATTTTGCCATTGTTCATTCACACATCAAATATGCATTAGCTGCGTGGGGCTCTACATCCCTAACCAATTTACGCAGATTAGAGGTCTTACAAAATAGAGCCGTTAGAATTCTTTCTAGGTCACCTTTTCGTTCTAATGTTAACACCCTGTATCATAAGACCAGGGTGCTGAAACTATCTGACATCTATAAACTAGAAATCTCTAAAGTCATGCATCTATTTCACAACAACCAGTTGCCTGCAGCTTTTGTTGATTATTTTGTTAAGCTTAGTAACATGCATGAGCATAACACGCGCTCTTCGACTAAATCCAATTTTTTTGTACCCCGGTTTACAACAAGCAAGTTCCAAAACTCTCTTAAATATAGAGGAATAGTCACTTGGAATAGTATTCCCATCTGTTTACGTGACTTCACCTATGCCACTTTTAAATTTGAGTATAAAAAACTTATGCTCTCTTCTTACCTATCGGTACCTTGAGTTAATGTGCTATCAACATCTATTTTGCATGCCTTGTCATTGTCATCAGAATACTTGATCTGATCCATAGTCCCCAGAAGTGTTCTGCAGCATCTGGAATATATTTCATTTATGATTCGACAATTTTTGTAATGCTATTTCCTAACCTCCACAGTGTATGCTCTACACCAGGGGTCACCAACCTTTTCGAGGCCGAGGGCTACTTTTTGGGTACAGATTGAGCTGCGGGCTACCAGTTCAATGTACACTTCTGAAAAAGTCAGTTGCCCGATTAAGCTTCAATTATTGGTATAATTACTGGTATTTAGTGAAGTAGAGACACTAATAAACTTTAGGATTCTTCAGGGAATCAAACGATTATCACAACTCGTTTTCAAATTGATTTTCAACACTCTGGGCAAGTTTAAGATAAAATGTACTAAACAGTTATACTACCAAATGTTGCAGAGTATCGTACTCCGACGCGTAACTTGACACTGTAACTCTGAGCAAGTCTTGCAGATTTTCATCAGTGAGGCGTGTTCCGTGTTTGTTCCTGTTGGAATGAGTCGCGGCGCTGTGGCTCATCGTGTTAAGCGTTAGGTTCGCAGGTTAGAATTTCATGCGGGGATAGTTATGTACTAAAGGATTGTTAGACTCCTCAACGCCGTGCGGTGGTTCACGTAACCGCAAGCCGATTACGGCTTCATTCGCCATCAAGTCCATGCATCCGCAAACAAATAACTAACTCATCTCATACCCGACATGGACTGGTAACTGGGCAAGAGGCCGTGGTCGTCATATGGTTGAGTCGTCTTATCGGCTATCTTCTCCCCGGGATAAATATGTAAATCCTATCCTATCCTGAGTTTATGTTAAAAATGTTAATTCACAAAGATAGGTTGAACCAAACGATGGTCTCGAAAAATAGGATTGCTGTATGATTTGAATCGCGAGCTTTTTCTGTCCGTACTGCGCTGACCAGTGGATAGATTGCGTGACAAGATGTGAAATATCTCTCCGCTTTGCCGTCGCTACTATCGCTCCACTAATGAGAGAGACACACGCAGGCTTTTTTCATGGTGGTAAAAATGATTTCATTGTGAAAATGATGAGTTTTTCATCGCTTTTCTGCCATTTTTCTTTGGAATCAATAATTGTATTATTGCTGCTCCACAAACCAACGGACAAGAAAAAGTGCGGGTTCGTGGAAAGTGATATCGGTGTGATGTCATAATTGGAAGAGTGTTAATTGATCCGTCACATTACTGAGATCAAACAAAAATAAGGTTGATGGTTACAATAATTATTATAGTGTCATTTCTAGTTCCCATATAAGTGTGATTTATACTAAAATAGCAGGACAAAATTTAATTGATCTAGCTTACTTATAAAAGCCGTTATTAAGCTTAGTTTGGAACAGACCGGCGGGCGACTCATATGATCTTCGCGGGCGACTTGGTGCCCGCGGGCAACGCGTTGGTGACTACTGCTCTACACTGTATATTTAAAATGTAGCCATTTCTTAACAATCCCACTAATTCCACAAGAGATGAATTTTTGCCTACCACTGGAACTCAATCAAATAATTCACTGGCTGGTTATGTATGATCTGGTTTCCTAATTATCGCCCCAGATGAACCGAGATCCCTGGTCACTGTATCAACCCTAATTGCCAGATAATTATTTCAATAGTTATTTGGTACATTGCAACCATATATTATAAACCCCACTGTATTGTGCCTAATTCTACTGTTTTTGTAATTAATTTTATCATTGTGATATTACTTGAACAAGATTAGTTATTGCTTAGTTCATTTCCCTCTGTATTGATTGAATTATTATTTTATTTTTCTCATCTGGTGTCTATATTTGTTGCACGAGTATCTGATTGTGTAACGTTAGCTTGGTTTAATGTTACTCTCAGGACTTCTCAGTCCACAATCTAGATAGATGTTTTACCTGTTTATTCCTTTGTTTCTCGTCTTTCTAGAATTGGAATGTACTATTCCGATTCTGATAATTTTTCTAATGACTCCAGTCCCGGTAACCATGTCACAGTGCCAAATTGAAGTGCAGTAGAAACTGGTCCCATATTAAGAAACTGTTAACAATTCAGACATTACTCATAGTTCCAAATGTATTACCATATATCCATCGACATATCACTTGTCTGCCTAAACATATAAACAAGCTTTAAGTTGTGACCATTTTAAATGTATAATTTTTTTTACCTAATAACTGTCTTGTTAGGTACACCACCAGAACGTGCACACTTAAAAACTAGTACCTAAACGTCGTCGGCTTTTCCAGTATGACTGTACCCAGCCAGGCCAGCCTGCTTGCTGTCACTGTGCCAAGGTGATATTCACTTTGGTCGTTGCTATGCTGTTTGCTGCCCATGGCTACCCCTCCCGTACTTGACGGTGCCCGGAGTCTATTTTCTGTAACAAATTTGGTTTTTGGACTTTAATACTTGATATAATAATGTATATATATATTGTTCGTCTTATTTCTATTAAACTTGTATCAAAGTTAGACTCTTATCACAGGTGTCGCTGCTCGATAACCAACTTTGGTTTTTCGCGTCACCTTTCACAATGAAATGTCATTTTTTTAAGTTTATGTTCACTGTGAGTG